TGCTGAGGCTGGTGAGTACAGTTCTAGGTAGGGGATCTTGTATTGACCCCCCTCCGCTTGCTTCAGCATACTCTTGCTCTATCTAGACAGGTGGTAATCCCTACTCTTCCCATGCATTGAGGGCTACCAGATTTGGGAGTTGGGGAGTTCCTGCAGTTTCCACCAGGGTGCATGTCCTGACATTTACTTTGTAACTGTGATTGTGGTAGATGTTTTTTAAGGCTGTGACTGTTTTTTCCACCCCCCACTATGTAGGATGGCATCCCGTGTCTCAGCCTGTGGTAGTCAAGAGTCTTGTGTGGAGCACTGCACCTCTAGATTCATGCTGAGGCCAAGTCCATTAGGAGATGCTTGTAGATGGGGTAGGGTGTAATTCTCTGTTGCGTTCCTGGGTCCCTCTGTTATTGCCTGGACTTCTTAGATGTCTCAGGATTTTCCAGGTGTCATGGTTAGATGAAGTGGGCCAGTTTTGTGGGTGGGAGAGGGTAGAAAATTGATGATTTTCTCTCCTTTCTTCACCTGTTGTTCCAACTTTCCTCTGCTTCTTGCGAGTCACCAGTGTCACAAAATGTGTTCAACAAGTTTGGGTCCCACCAGGAACTCATTGCTACTTCCTCTATCAGTTTTTATATGGGAGAACTTTTAGTCCTAGCATCCCTTCTCTGCCATGTTGGTGATGTCATCTCCAAATGTAAAATCTTAATGACTTAAGCCCTTTATATTCTTTTTTCTTTCCACATTTCAGCATTTTTCAAGTCGTACATGACTCACTTTAAATGCAAATAAATTTTGATACATATTGTAAATAAAATATGCTTATGGTGTTTTAAATTTAAAACCAGTTACATTTCTATACGTTACCAGAAAACAGTCTGAAAGGAGATAAAACAACTCTACTTACATTAGCATAAAAAGATAATAAAATACTTAGAAATATATGTAACTAAGGAAGTGTAAGTTTTATACACTGAAAACTACAGAACATTTTTTTCCTGAGAATAATATTTTATTAGCTGTTGATTACACATAAATATACCTATAAAATTTTTGTTATAATGGTTTATTTATACATCATTTTGTACATTTTTTTTTCATCTCAATTGTAATCCCCATGGGTTTCCCATCACCGAGTCACCCGTGTGCCATCACCATAGTCCCGTGC